AAGAGAAAAAAGAACAGACTAAATGAGCAAGAAAAAAGGAGTGATGAAAAACAGTTTTACTAATACAGAATACAAATTACTACAGGAAGCACTCAGATTTTGACAAAAAGAATTGATATTAAGCCAATATCTCATACCGTATACCATAGTAAAATTCAAAATCTGTATGTTAGTTAAATGTAAAAGGCCATGCCATTAGTAAGAAAAAATTATAAAGAAATGAGATCAGAGACTTTTTACAACTTTAGGTAGGGATAGAATTTTTTTTTTTTTTTGCTTTTTGGTGAGGCAAACAGGGTTAAGTGACTTGCCCAGGTTCACACAGCTAGTAAGTGTCATGTGTCCAAAACTGGATTTGAACTCACATCCTCCTGACTCCAAAGCTGGAGCTCTATCTACTGTGCCACCTAGCTGCCCTGGGAAAGAATTTTTAAGCAAAAGTTAGAGGAGATTATATAAATTATTGATATAAACAATTGTAACTGCAAAAAATAAAAATAAATAGCTTTTGTACAAGAAAGGTCAGTGAAGAGAGAATGATAGATGTTGTAGAATATGAAAGAAATATTTTCATCAGATGTCACCAGTAAAAGTCTGATTTCCAAAACATAGAAAATGATATAAATTTATCACGTAAATTGCTATTCCCTGATAAGTGAGAGGTCAAAGAACAGGAACAAATAATTATTAAAATAAAAATTACAAATGATGAAAAACTACATAAAAATATGTTCCAAAACAAACCACTAATAGTAAGAGACATACAATTATTACAACTCTGAGGTTTAACTTCATAGGCAAAGAAGAAAAAACAATCAGGACAGTGTTAGAGTAGCAATGGGGAAAATGTCATTGTGGTGTGTTATTGGTGGAACTGTGAAGTGATCCAACCAAAGTGGATTTCAATTTGGATAGAGATAGGGGATAAGGACTAGACCTGTGAATTCACTGATGGAGGGAATTCTAGGTTGAGGAAACTACCTCTCCCAATGAAGATTCAAACTTTTCTTTGTAAATAATAATCTTAGAGAGTTGCACTGAGAAATTATGTGACTTTAGTACATTGTTATTCCTATTTTTTCACATACCCTCCAACATTTTTCATTTTCTTTTTCTATCATGCTAGCCAATCTAATAGGTGTGAGGTGGTATCTCAGAGTTGTTTTAATTTGCATTTTTCTAATCACTAGTAATTTAGCAGCACATTTTTTTTTTCATTTTTGGCTATAGATAGCTTTGATTCCTTCTTCTGAAAATTGCATGGTCATATCCTTTAACTATTTGTCAACTGGGGAATGACTTGTATTTTTATACATTTGACTCAGTTCCTTATATATATTTGAGGAATGAGGCCTTTGTCAGAGAAACTTGCTATATTTTTCCCTAGTTTCCTGCTTTCCTTCTAATCTTGGATGTATTGGTTTTCTTTGTGCAAAAACTTTTAAATTTAATGTAAACAAAATTATTCATTTTACTTCCTGTGATCCTTTCTATGTCTTGTTTAGTCATAAATTCTTCCCTTATCCATAGATCCCATATGTAAAATTTACGTGTTCTCTTAATTTGCTTATTTAACTCTTTATGTTTAAATCATGTACCCATTTTGACCTTATCTTGGTATAAAGTGTGAGATGTTGGTCTATACCTAGTTTCTGCCAAACTGCTTTCCAGTTTTCCTAGCAATTTTTTTTCATTAGGTCATGAAAGATGAAAAATGTATAAATACATATATAGACAACATCTCTTCTCATGAAATAAAAGGATCATAACACAACCAACTCAACCAAATCAAGCATTTTTTATAATTTACACCTTTCATTATGACAGAATCACACATGCCACAGTCTACATCAATTACTGAAGCATCTTAGAGAATTGTATTGACTGAATAATAGTCTATTCATTATGCACACATTGATGTAGCTATGGTTTCACTGTGTCCATATAGTCAAATGTGGTGCATTTTTTTAGGGGGAAGATATATCTTTTTCTGCTTTGTTTTTCAAAGTTCCTAGTTGTTAATTCTTTTGTCATAAAGTGAAGTAGAGACCTGGTAACATTAATGAGTTAATTTGATCAATGAATATAGTCCCAATAAATAATTTAGCCTCCATAATAGTTTTTTTTTGAAGGGGAAAATTATCCATTTTAGTTGTGTATGTTTATCAATTAATGAGGATATGATCAAAGCACAATCATCCTGTTAAGTTGCTCATACTGAACAAAGCAACTTAACAACAATTGCCCAAAGTCCTCACCTGTTTTGTGCTATATGAATATTATATAATGTCTATCTACCTATCTATCTATATACATATGCATACATGTTATTATACATTATAATATTATAGAAGGGGGAGAAAGGTGGGGAAGAAGAATGAGAAGGACTACAACAGCTCAGATGAGGAGACTGAGAAAGACAAGGAGAAAGAGGACAAAGAGGATGAGGACAAAGAGAATGAAGATGAGGAGCCCAAGGATGAGAACAAAATTATTATGATAAAGAGGGAGAAGAGATGATGAAGACAGGAAGGAAAGAGGAAGAGTTAAGAAGGGGACAAAAGAGGAAGAGAAAGAAAGAGAAAGAACATGTTTCTAAAGGTATGGAACCTTTTAAATTAACCACTGCAATACAAGAAAAGAAATGGAAATTGCTCCCATGGATTATGTGTCCTTCCACATCCTCCTTTACAAATCAAGCATGGAAATCCTTCTGACTCACAGTATGTACCCTTTCAGAATGTGATCACAGATTGTTATGCTTCCACTCCATTTGAAGTCAAGGCAAGTCAGAGGGAGGGAGAAAATAAGGTATAGAAAAAAGTTCACTTTGGAATTTACAAAGTGGTACTGAAAGCTTTATCTGTCTCTGCTTGGGATAAAAACACTTGCACTCACATATCCCAAAGATTCTAATATTTTCTGAGACTCCACTATGCCTTTATATTTTAATACCCTGACATCTGGAATCCTAAAAGTCTAATGTTTAACCATAAATATCTGCTGAGATTAAAGAGCTATATACCAAGTTTCAATCTTTGGGGCCTATAATTGCTTGGGAAAAGAGAATGGTATTTCCCCCTCTAGCTAGAAAAAAAAAGACCTCTGCACACACAGATATTGGCAGACAAATTTTCTAACAACCGTTTCCTCTCTTCATTTTCCCCTCTCATTCCTTACCCCCTCCCTTTTCCACTCTTCCATTTTATAATACCATCGCACTGTCATTCCCAGGATAAATGGGAAAAATAGAAGCCTAGACATCTTTTTTTTTTTAAAGATACATTTCCACGTATAACAGCAAACAGTGCAGAAAATAGTAGCCACTCCAGACTCTAAGCATTTAGAGCATCCACCCCCAACGATACTTGGGCTTTACCATTATTCACTCACAAAACTCTTCATCATTCCCTGGGCTGACAGGTCAATGCCAGCTTTATTTTCTTTTTTGTCAACCCAATCTTTTATTTTTGATTTGAAGCAACAGTCCTTCATAAGACCTCCAGTGTGGTAATGATATCTTTCTCTCACAAGAGATATCCAAGAAGTATTTCACAAAGAGAATGGAGTTTCTGGTGAGTGCAATAAAGGTGAATCAAGTAAGAAATCCTACCTCAGTTAGGGTAGTTTTAACTGTAAAAGAGAGTTAGCAGAGTAGAGAAAGGTTTATTATCTGTTTTTTTTCCTATTATTACAATGAACAAATATGGAAATTTTGCAAAATTGAGTGTAGCTTTCCTTTTCATTGAGAGGCATTATAGAGGAAGAGGAAGAATTCTTGATTTGGATCCCAAAGATATAGTTTTTCAAGAACCAGATCCTAAGTGGAGTAGGTGTGTGACCATGGGTAAGTGACAATCTCTGTGCACTTTAATGCAATCATGCAAAATGGAGATACTATAATCATATTTATGCTTCTTAAATGACAGGATTGGGATGAGAGAGAAGAAAAACTTTGCAAACCTTAATACTATCAGGCATTGAGGCTATTATACAATTATAATGGTGTTTTAAGGTTGTTTATTATTATGATAACTAGGGAAAATTAGGATATTAGGAAACATTTTTGTTAAGCATTAATGCAATATTAAGAACCAGCGTGGTATGGAATGGATAGAGAGCTGGGCTTAGAACCAAGAAGACTTGTCTTCAAATTATATTTCTGACATACACTGAGTGACCCTGAATGACTCACTTTATGCCTCTGCACTCTAGACAAGTTTTGATGACTATAGATTGCCTATTTGCATTGGTAGAAGGAATTTCCTCATCTAGAATTTCCCCATACCAATTAAATCACAGGTCTAGTTCTTACCATATCTAAATCAGCAATTATTAGCTTAATTTTTTTTCTTTTTTTTTTAATTTGAGGCATAGAGTATGTGTCATCAGCCAAAGCTTCCATTTTCCTCCAACACCCTCCCTACCCTATCTAGCTCATCTAAATTTTCCCTTGGAACAAAAATTCCTATTTTTTTGTTATATGTTAGAGAATAGAGAAATTTTAATATTTTGACAAATGGCATGCTACCAAAAAGTAGAAGGAAGAAAAAACAAACAAGGGGCTTGTTTCATTACTCAAGGCAACTAGAGGTAAAATATGCAGGTAGAGACTTTGCCCTTAATCAGTGGCAAAGCAGAAGCAGGAATGTGGTTTATTTACATCACCTTTCTCTGTAAATAAATATGGAACATTATTCATGAGTATAGTTCTTAAACTTGGAATAAAGCATAACAAACAATAACAAAAATGCCTTCTGTGGCTATTATACTACTTTGCACTTCCTCTTATGCACATCGAGTACCTGTCTAGTAGGCAGAATAACTTGCTAGTGGAATGGAAAAGTCTGCTCCTAATTCCCTTCCTCAAGTTTTTTATTAGCTTAGTTTAATTTTGTTTGATTTTGTTAGCATGCAGATTGTCTGACCTCTCTTTTTCATATATACACACATTTCCCCCCAATAGTAATGTCCTAGGCTTGTCTTAAGATGTGACTGACCTGTGTTGAAGCAGGATGCAACCCATTCTGACTTGGATTTTGGAAAAACAGAAATTGGTGGTGGCAGATCCAGGGCACTGCCATCTAGGTCTTTGAAGAGATACTTTATTGGACTTTCACAGTCCAATTCAGGACAGACCATTTCCCCTGTTTCCTTCCTATGGTAGTAGATAAGAAGAAAATGTGTCGTTTAATGAAAAGAATAGAGGAAATCTCATATTAGTGTTGTCATTTTGAAAAAAAAAATCAGAAGGATACCATTGTTATATCTATGGCAGACGTTACTTTAGCTTTAGAAAATATTCTAAACTTTATGTTTTCTGCCATAAGCAAGGTCATCTCCTTTACATATTCTGGTTGAGAATTACCACATATTTATATGAAAGACCAAATTTTAAAAATTAGGATATGACAAAATACACTTAATACTAATGCAAGGGATTCTTAACATCAGGTCTATGAGTTATTTAAAAAAATCTCAAAGCAGTATTTCAACATAATTTATTTCCTATATAATCGTATATGTTTTATTTATTTGCATTTAGAAAGATGATTCTGGGGTACATCGGCTTCTCCACACTGTCAAAGGGGTGTTTTAAACAAAGGTCAAGAACTCCTGCACTAAAAGTCTTAGAAAAATAATTTAACTTTTATTCATGATTCTGAAGGTACTTCTGGCCCTTATAGTATCTCAAGTTAAGCAGTGAATATCCATTATTATCACACTATGCATATACAAAAGTGCTTATAATAGAGTATTCATTTTTTAAGAACATGGGAAAATAGAGAATTTACAATATTTATTTTGATTTGGTGCTTATTATTGTACAATAGTTCCAACCACATATATGATATAAAATCAAATAAATTATAAAGTATTTTTTAATTCACCACTATCTAAATTCAATAGGAAATAAGGTATAGGGATTAGACCTGCGGTATCATTGACATAGGAAATTCTCAGATATGGAAACTCTATCTGCCAATGTATATTATTATTATCATAATAATAAACAACCTTAAAACACCATTATAATTGTATAATAGCCTAAATGCCTGATAGTATTAAGGTTTGCAAAGTTTTTTTTTTCTCTCTCATCCCAATCCTGTCATTTAAGAAGCATAAATATGATTATAGTATCTCCATTTTGCATGATTGCATTAAAGTGCACAGAGATTGTCACTTACCCATGGTCACACACCTACTCCACTTAGGATCTGGTTCTTGAAAAACTATGTCTTTGGGATCCAAAGTAGAGTAGAGATATCTACTCTGCAACCTATAGTCTTAGCAAGAAGACTAGATCACTGAGAAGTCTAGTGACTTGCTTAGGGTCACACACCCATGAAGTGTTAGAGGCAGGAGGACTCAAATCCAGGTCTTCCTGGTTCTGAAGACAACTTTCTATCTATTATGACCAATTGCTTTTCACATAAATGCGGTAGTTAGTCCAAACACAGGAAAAAGGGGAAAGTGTTATTATACATATTATAAATATGCAATTTCACTCATTGATTCTAACCATCTTCAAGAGTTTAAAATGACTCACACCAACCATAAGGACATTGATTTCCCAGTTAGAAGTAGAATACTCTCCTTGTGATTCTTCCTTTTCAATTCCCACATTAAAGGAAATGAAAAGAATAATTTCTTTCCCCAGTGCTAAATTCTAAATTGACATCACCAAGCAGAAGTCTCAGTGGGGTTTTTCATCTCTTCCTTCTCTTCTCTCCATTCCTTTTTTTTCTTTTCTTTTCCTCTCCTCTTCTTTCCTTTTCTTTTTTTTTTAACTGAACCTGTGATTTCATTGGTAAAGAACAACCAGTAGAGAAGCTTCCTCTACCAATCTGTATCAGGCATCTACCCTGAAATCTCAAGTCTTAGAGATTTCCCTGGGGCACTAAGAAGTTAAGTGATTTGTTCAATGTCACACAGCTAGTAAGTGCCAAAGGTCAAATATGAACATAGGATTTCTAAAGCAAGTTCTCTATCCTCCATACTATGGTTGCTTCATAGCCATGTGGGAAACCATCAGAGCTAGTGCATGGAGGAAAGGACTGGCCAAATAATGGAATATGATATGTTCAACGTCTGTTCAAACCACACTCTGAATAATGTTTCAAAGGCATAAGTAGGCAGCCTTGTACCCACCTAATGACCACGCCCAAATAATGGTCCTTCAGACTGACAATAGCTTATTTTGCCTTAAGGGATGGAACTCTGTGACAATTTTTTTTCCCTCAGTCTTTCAGAAAATATCTGGAAGAAAGATAGCTACCTTAAAGAAGTGGTCACATGATTGCATCTAAGGAGTTATCTAGTTAATATAATCAACATAAGAAGATGATTTCCTGTTGCATGTCTGGATTTAAATTTTTGGTTTGAACAAAGCTCTGTCGATCAGTGCAGTAGTAGATACTCAGCACATATCTTCACACTGTTTTATAAATGCTCCTCTATATAAAAGGCTAATTTGGTAATGAAGATTGGAGTCGGAGTGGTGGCATAGTAAATACCTAACCATTCTAAGTCGAGGTTGAGGGGTCCAAACTAACAAATATTAGATTGGGTTTTTTAAACAGAACAACTTACTAATATAATGGTATTCCCTCTGAAATATTTAGGGATTTGGAGAGGTGTCTAGTGCTAATCAAATGTGATTGGGCAATTATCACTTCATTTGCACAGACTGAAAGTAGTACCTGAGCCTAGGCAAGGAGAAGTAGAACTTGTTCTGATCTTTGACCTTGAGCATCTTTGTCCTTTCTGCTGTGATTGGGGGCATGATGCCAGTGCTATCAGGATTGGGCAGAATGCAGACATCCAGGTCATTGCTATAGCAGCTCTTCACAAAGTCAGAAAAGGTGACTCCTGAAATGGACAAATAAGACATGGACCATATGAGAGCCATCAACCACAAGAGGACCAAGCCAGCGTTTTGTGATCATGATGGCTTTTTATTGTTCCATAGCTCAGTATTACTCTATGTAAACCTTTATGGTACAGAAGATTGAGCACTACCTCTGGAGTCACATTACCTACATTCAAATCTCAGTTCTGCTAGTCACTACCTATGTAACCATCCACAAGTTACTTCCCTTTTCTGGGCCTCATTTATGAAGTGAAAGACAATAATGCTGATGATAATAACATCTAGCATTTATGTAATGCTTTAAGGTTTTCACAGTACTTTACATACATGATTTTAATGCTTACAATGAGAAAATTGAAGCTGAGAGAGATTAAGTGACTTGTTTTGGGTCACACAGTGTCTGAGGTAGGATTTGACCTCCAGTCTTCATTACTCCACACCCTACTCTCTATCTACCTAGATGCCAACTTGTGGCCTATTGGCCACAAGAAGGTTTCCACAATCTCAATTTACTGAAACAATAGCTACTTCTAGCCCTGGACTTAGTTTTTGAGAGAAATCAGAATACTCCAATGTGTCTTTCTTACTACTCTCAGAAATAGAATAATTGATGTTTTCATGTGGCAATCATTTTCTTCAAAGACTTGACTCATTTATTTTACAGATGGGCAAACCAAGCAATAAAGAAATTAAATATTTTTGAAGTGAGTCAGTAGCAAAAAAAAAAAATACAAAAAGATCTGCCCATTAGACCAAGAAAAAGAACACAGGAGTAGAAGAAGTTAAGTGACCTGGATTCTAGGCCCAGTCTCACCAATGACTGTCTTTCTGACCTCAGGCAAGTGAGTTAAGTTGATGTCTTTGTGTCCTTATTTGCAAAATGGAGGTCGTTCCATTTGCCCAACCTATCTTGCAAAGTTGTTGTAAAGGACAAATGAGAAAATAGTTATGAAGCTAGCTTGGAAACAATAAAAGCATTTGAACATAAGAACTCTGTCACTATTTATTTATTTTACTAGCATCCTGGCAGAAGGATTGAGGCAAGCTACTGATTAGATTAGATTTCATTGCACTGACCATGCTTTTACCAGTTATTTAAGGAGGGAGAACCCAGTGAACCCAAATGTTTGTGCCAAGCGGCTGAAGTGAATCCACATGGTCAACTAACCATCAAGCTCCATGATCCCTGAGACAGAAGGATAATTCCTCACTTTGTGCCATGCATCTTGAGGCCGTTGGTTTGGTTCCACAGTGAATCCAGGCCACAATATTCCAACCCGACCCCCTCTGGGATTACTTGGGGCTCGATCCCTTGATGTGAAGTCAGCAGAAAGAGGTTTAATTCTGTCTTCTATGCAATCAAAAGAAGAGCTAGTGGCCACAATGATAGAATTCCTGAGAACTATCTGTTTCTTCTTTAAGGAACACTGTTTGGTAGATGATGTATATATTAATGGAAGAAGACCAACAACATTGTCCACCAGAATCACATTATCTATCTCCAAGTTGCTTTCTGCATGGAACATGGCCCCATAATCAAAGTTCTTGTATGAAAGGAAACCAGAGATACCAGTACAGTTGTATAGTCCATCTCCCTTATAGAGATGGAGTCCATGAAGGCTCGAATGGACCACATTTCCAACCCAAGGATTTTCAGCCACCAAACAACTATGGCCCCTGATATGGAAGCCAATTCTTTCTGATCCTGCTACAGCATTCCCAATGAGGTTGACATCCTTTACCTGGTTCAACTTGATTCCTGTCACCCAGTCCATTGCTCTTTGCGGCTGCCTAGTCAGGACAATGAGGTTCTTGATGAGAGAGTGGTTTTGACCCTCTAGATCAATACCATGGCCAATGGTGTCAAACAAAATGTTATCATATAAGAAGATGCTTTTGCTGGAATATACACGAATACCCCCTCCACAGCTCTGGTGCACAGCAGAAGAGACGATCCAGGATCCCAAAGATACATTATTGAATTCAATAGACGGATACAGCAAAGACCCAAAGTTCTGGATTTCCACATTTGAGAGCTGAAGGGTACCTGAAATAGAATAGACATTGTTTCAGCGCCCCCACCCTCAAAAGTATAGGGGAAGTTGGATTTAAAATCAGCAGAAAATAAATAATTTTACTGAAAACTGAAAAAAGACTATTGTCAGGTACAACACGATAATTCTTACTGGCAAAACCTGAACAATCAAGTGTGTTAGAAAAGCTGGTTAAAGGTTTCATAAATCGCCCAACAAGGGAGGAGTGGAAGGGTCTTTAGTAATGCATGCACTTGTCCATAGGTCCCGGCTAGAGTCCTAGAACAGATGTAGATAATAAAGATTCCAAATTCTACAGTCCCTCAAGGTTTACAAAGCACTCCTGACCTTATCCTTCCCAGTAGAACATAATCTCATTGAGGACAGGGATTATTTACAGTTCTGTAGCTATAGTGTAGCTACTCAGCACATGCTTATTGAATTGAATTGAATTGAACACACTTTGAAGTAGGCAGTGAAGGTATTATTTATTACTCCCATTTTAAATTTAAAGACACTGAGGCTCAGAAAATAGAAGTGATTTACTTAAGGTTATACAGTGTTAGAATTAGACTGGAAAGCCAGGTCTTCTGACTTCACATCTGGACTCTTTCCATTACACCAAATGGCCTTGGAAGAGCTAAGTCCTGGACCTGACTGTGTTGGGTAATTCAAGACTATACCTTAGGGAGTTGACCTCATGTAATGGAAAGGAGGAGAGGGAGACATGATAAACTTTGTCTCCAGTTCTATTGACTGAAAGAGATACTGAATGAATACATAAGATGACTACATTGCTAATATGCTTTGAGAAACATTGGAGAAGGAAAGGGAGGAAACAAGGAAATAAGCATTTATTAAGCACCTACTATGTGCCAGGCACTGTGCTAATTAGTTTACAAGCATTATCTCATTTGATTCTCATGACAACCCTGTGAGGTGGATGCTATTGTGATTCCCATTTTACAGCTGAGGAAACTGAGGCAAACAGAGAAGGTAGAAAATGGTGTACACAAATACACTTGTGCCAAGATGCTGGGACTTACTCGAATGTGGATGACAACTAGATCCTTAATAAGTATTTGTTGATTAACTGGTTAAGATATATTAAACCCATTGTTAAAATTTCCCTAAAGATCAAGAGAAATTTTTTCCCCATTTTTTCTTAAAATCATAGTAAGCCACACATTACTGAAAAGGCTGCAGAATATACCTCTTTTCAACTTCAGTAGAAGGAATTAAAAAATTGTGTTTTTTTTAATCAAAGGATTTTGGTCTTTTTATAATGATTAGCGTATGCCTAGGGTCTCAATTTTGCAGTAAAAATTCACTTTTTTGAAGAAATCAGTGAAGTTTTACTGTTAGGTTTATTTTATTTGGGTGTGTATGAAACAAGAGCTGAAAATAGTCCCCAGCAAATTGTTAATCCTCTCAGGGATCTGAAGCAAGAATTAAGCTATGATTTTGCGCACAGCCACTTTGCTCTTTCTCTTTTTGGAAAATGCACTTACAGCAAATTGTTTAGCTCAATGACTCATAGGCTTCTGGATGAAACTCCTGATACTCCTAACTCAGAACCTGGAATTATTTACATATGCTCCCAGTTCAATGAGGGTTTGGAAAGGGGCTAGGAAAACCATCCTAAGCAAGCATTTAGGAGAAGATTTCTCTTTCTTCCTTTCCACTTCACCTCTTCCTGTATACCAACAAGTCGTATTTGTCTTTCCAAATCAGACTTTTCTATCTTCCCTTCCTCATTAAGGTGATTTTTCTGATATTCACAAATGTTCACAAATAATCACAAATGTGATTATTTTTCACTTTAACTATAACAGATCATTGACAAAAGTAGCAAAAAAAGCACTATTTCAGATCAGAAACAACTATCAAGACAGGGATCAATTTAAACCATCACAAATGACTAGATAACACAGTGGATATACTGCTAAACTTGGAATCAGGTAGATCTGAGCTCAAATCCAGCCCCTGATCCATACAGGGTGTGACCTCGAGCAAGTCGCTTAATCTATCTCAGTCTCAGTTTCTTCATCTGATCCATAGAGGGTGTGACCTTGAGCAAGTCACTTAATCCATCTCAGTCTCAGTTTCCTCATCTATGAAATGTGGGTGATAATAGCATCTACCTCTCAGAATTAATGTAAAGATTAAATGAGATAACATTTATAAAGTGCTTTTAAAGCCTTAATGCTCTATATACATACTAGCTATTATTACAAAATAATGGACATTTATCCAATTCTGCAGGTATTTAATCAGATAGCACAAAAGAAAGCAATATTTTGCTATGACAATCATTCCTGATTTTTCCTAGTATATAACCTTTGTTTTAGAATGCTACAAAGTACACATTCATTGTTTTTCTAGGTTGAATTAAGCAAAGGATTGTCCATCTACAAACCAAAGATCAGCCTCAACCACCCACTGAACCTAAATACATAAGTGGATTATTTGGTTAGGAATGGGCCCTGGATCATATCCTACACATGGTTAAAAATTCATCAGATAGGCCAACACCAAAAACCATTGGAGGGAGAATCTAACCTCTAGAATGGAGATTTCTAATCAATGACTTATGACTAAAAGGCAACAAAAGATTAAATGATATTCTGCATCAATGACCTGAAAGGGAACTTCCAGGACTGTGCCTAAAAATAAGTGAAATCAATCTTTAAATAAAACAATTTGCAAAAAAAAAAAAAACATTTTATTGACAACTGACACTCTAAACATGCCATCACTGACACTGGAAGAGCCAGGGGAAACAGCAGAATACAAAGAAACCATGGAGGGTTCAAGTTATCTGCAAGTCTGAAGAAACTGCACAATGAAGTCAATCAAAGCTCATAGGACCATAGATTTAGAGTGGAAGGGACTTTAGAGGCCAACTAGTCCACCATCGCCCCCATTTTACAAATAAGGAAAATGAGAGTCAGAGAGGTATAGTGATTTACCTAAGGTCATACAGGTAGTGATTGAAAGAGGCAGAATTTGCACTTGGGTCCTGTGACTCAAGGGCAGCTAGGAGGTACAGTGGATAGAGTGCTAGGCCTGGAGTCAGGCAGTCTCATCTTTCTTAGTTCAAATCCAGCCTCCAACACTTGAAAGCTGTGTGATCCCGGACAAGTAACTTAATCCTGTTTGCCTCAGTTCTTCATCTGTAAAATGAACTAGAGAAGGAAACTGAAAACTTCTCCAATTTCTTTGCCAGAAAAATCCCGAATGGGGTCATGAAGAGCCGGACATGACTGAAATGACTCAACAATACCAACCTCTGACCCAAAAGCCAGCATTCTTTCCACCAATACCATGGTGCCACCAATACCATGGTGCCTCTCTAGGAAGATACTTTCTCTGAGCTAAGAATGCATGTCTTTTTTGTTCTCAGCCATATTGCTTTAACATTTATCAGAAAACTGATAAATGGACACAGATTAAGATAATGAAATCATAAAATTGCTGATCTGGATGAGATCCTAGGCATCATGGAGTCTAGCCCCATCACTGTCCAGATGAGGAAACTCAAAATTCTGTTCCTAGTAAGAGTTTAGTCTGTGACTAGAATTACTGAACCACTGCAATTTCACATACCTGAAAATTCTTCTCCATTAGGCTTTTGGAAGGACCCCACAACCATTCTTCCACCACATGGAACATCAGGCTGGATTTTTATATTTCGAGTCAGGAGGCCCACCTCAGCAGCCAGAGAAATGTGCCTGCCATCTTCCATTGAATGGGAACTTCCTGTGGCAGAGGGGACAAGGGGTGATAATACAATTTTAAAGTCCATTTCGGAAATCACCAGCTGGGGACCCAGTGAAACTGACAAATGAAAACACTTCTCCCCCTCAGAAGTTCTACCCACATTAAGGCTCGCTTTTCCTCAGGCATTCTCCACCAGCATCAACTGAGAAATGAAAAGGCCGCTCACTTGTCTCTCTTTGGGATCAGAGTGAGTGTGTTAGAGCAAGAATTCATTTGTTCTCAATAAGGTAGGTACTGTCACTGACAACTGGAGTCCAGAAACCAGGGCAGAGCTAGCCAATTAGTGGGGTCCCCATCCTCCTTCCTTTAAGTATATCAGCTCTAGACATCAGACTTTGCTTGTACACTGTCAACTGACCACTTTCATGGAAATGAGGAATACCAGATCAACTAGGCCAGTGACAACACTAGTACATATTACACTATTTATAGCCGTAAAAAGAAAACAAGCGTTAAATTTGAACAGAGAGCAGAATCCTCTTGTGCATTCAATAGACCAGCAAGCCTACTGCTCCCCAAGCAAGGTCTCCACAAAGCTGAAATGAAACAATTTCTGGCTTCTTTGTTGTTCCTTGCAAAAGACACTCCATCTCCACTCTGTGTGTTTTCACTGGGTGGCCCCCTTGCCTGGAATTCTCTCCCTTCTTATCTCTGTCTCTTGGTTTCCTTGACTTCCTTCAATACTCAGCTAAAATCCCATCTTCTTCAACAAGAAGCCTTTCTTTCCCAGTCCTCCTTAATGTTAGTGTCTTCCTTCTAAGATCACCTCCAATTTTCCCTGTATTTGTCTTGTTTCTACGTAGTTGTTCGCATACTGTATCCCCTCATTAAATTGTAATCACCTTAAAGGCAGAGATTGTTTTCCCCTTTCTTTGTATCTCCAGCACTTAGCACAGTGCCTGGCACATAGTAGGTGCTTAACAAATGCTTGTTGACTTAACTTAGGCTGTGGACAAATTTTCATTACACAGGGGAACTTAGCAACAGGACTTGGTATGTAATTATCTTTTTTTTTTTCTTACTCTTAAAAAAAAAAAAAGACTGACAAAAAACCTCCATACCATGAATTAGGAGAAACAACTTAAGCTTGCACACTCCAGTAACAAGCCATATTCTTCTTTATTCACAAGGAGAGAAATGTTTCTATCACTCCTTTACTTGATGACAGTAGTTACAGTAGTTATTCATTGTACCTAATGGCTGACTTTTTGTTTTCCTGAATCAGGGCCTTTTTATTTCTTCTTTTATTTGTATTCACACAAGAATATTAGGAATATTAGGGATTGGCAGCTAGTGAAAATGTTCATTGCCTAATGTCCTATTGCCCCTAGGTTAAAATACAAACTCTTTGGTCTAGCATTTAAAGCCCTTCACTATAGAGCTCTAAGCTCTCTCCCCTGACTTACTTCACATTACTCCCTCTTATAGAATTTATGCGCTGGCCTACTTACGCAGTGGCATTGGACTTCCGTGGCATTTTGCATGCACTGCCATCTCATGACTGGAGTTTTCTCCCTCCTTCACCTCTACATCTTGGAATCCCCCCTCCAAGGTTTAGCTCAAATGCCAGTGCCTACATGAGGCCTTTCTTGATTCTCTCAATTGTCAGTCATCCCTCCCCCCCCAATAAAATTTACATTGCATTTATTTTGAGTATAGTTTGTATTTCTTTGTCAGTGTGTATATTTTTTCTTCAGTAGAACATAAGCACCTGAGCGGTGAAGATAGATTTCATTTTTGTTTTTGTCTTTATTTCCCTAGCTGTTGTTTAGTTTTTTCTGTTGTGTCCAACTCTTTGTGACCTCATTTGGGGTTTTCTTGGCAAAGATAAACTGAGGCAAACAGGGTTAAGTGACTTGCCCAGGGTCACACAAATAGTAAGTATCTAAGGCCAGACTTGAACTCAGGAAGATGAATCAGGCCAGCAAAACCATGTAGGTAGACAAGCTAAACCAGGTTGACAGACAGGCCTCAAACCCATTGGTGAGTTGGGGGAATGTCTATCCCAACCATGTGAAGATCTCCCCTTGTAGAATAGGCAGATGAGAACAATCTGTTCCAAAGGCCATGAAAGCTGCTGAAGCAAATGCTGTGGAGCACTTAGAATTTGGTCAAACATCGAAGACACCAATGTCATCCACTGCATCTTGGGCCACGGCCAGTCATCTTGACTTTTGTCCTGCCACTGGACCTTGATGACTCTAGAAGAGAGAGTGAGGCTGACAACTTTGCAAAACTCTGCCTCACTTAAATCTAATTCACAAGCAAGTCAAGACATCACCCCATGATGTCACTGGTCCTCTTCAAAATGAAGGATGAACAACAATATCCCTAGCACTTAGAACATTACCTGGCACATAATGAGTGCTTAATAAATGCTTGACTGATTGATTTCCATGGAGTGATTCTACATTTCTCCTCAAATTTCTCATAGCACTTCTCAAAGGAGGTATGGACCTCCTTTCCTTTGCACAGTTGTTTCAATAAATGGTTATTGAATAGTATTGAATTCATTAATTTTATAATAAAACGTATTCACATTTCAATAAACAAGATGTCTTTTATACAAGCATATTTCGCAAGAATCAGTTTCATCATGATGAGAGGTAGGTAAAAATTTATAACATTCTGTTTATGATTCACTGCCCGAAAAATGAACTGGAAAGTTAGGGGTTGGGTGTTGAATTCTGGTTTGGCTACAGAACTTCTATTTGAACCTTGGAAAAGTTTTTTGGTTTTTTGGATTTTTTCCCCCAGCTTCTTAGCTTCGCATTACTGAAAATACCAATATTTACCTTACAAATATAAATGTTCATAAGAAATAGCAAAATTAACAGAATCATGGGAAATGTCTTTCATGAAGCATAAAAAATCCGGGTTTGAAGACTGACTCTGCCACTTATTAAATGTGAAATCTTGGGCAAATCATTTAATCTCCCTTTGTTCTATTTCACCATAAGTAAAATATTCTTTATCCTTCTAAATCATAGGATTATTGTGAGACTCAAATGAGGAAATATATTTTGCAGTATTTCAAAAAAAACTTAAAAAATAGCAATATACAAATGTAAGGTATTAATTTTTTTTACCTGCTATTTATGCCTTTTGTGACTTTGGGGAAATTATTTAATCCCACTGTGCCTTAGTTTCTTCCTCTATAAAGTGAGATAATTGAGCTAGATGATCTCTCACATCTTCACCATCTAGATCTTATGACTTTCATCACTGCCAGGGAAGCAATGGCATTTATCAACCCAGATAATGAATCTTCATATGATTTGATAGCAGAGCTAAGATTAGAATTCATTGTCTCTGAGGTCAGTCTGCAATATAATTTATTGAACCACATAATCCTTTCAGCAAGCTAAAGGATACAGTCACAAAGGTTCATTGATTTCTTCCTTGTCAAAGTCCTTACCAAGGTGTCGGTGACTGAGGCACTCATGGATTCTAACATTTTGACCCATGACTTCCTTTACAGTGAGGATTTCTGCTTCATGAGGTTCATAAGATGAAGAACTCAATACAATCTTGTCTTGCGGTCTCCAATCTACTGCATCCTCCACTAGAATCCTGTAAGTAAGGAGTAAGTAAATAAGCAGTGGAGTAGAACTAATCAATCAATATGCATTTATTAAGTGCCTAATATATGCCAGGCACTCTTCTAGGCACTGGAGATAGAAGTACAAAGAATGGCTCAATACCTACTTATGAGAAGCTTATATTCTACTGTAGGAGACAAAAATACATACACATATATACTCATATATGAATATATATAAAGTGAATAAATACAAATATAAGCAAAGTAGTTAAACACTAAATAGTTTGTTGTTGTTTGGGCATTTCTTAGTCATGTCCACCTCTTCATGGCCTATTTGGGATTTTCTTGGTATAGATAACTAGAGTGGATTGCCATTTCCTTCTCCAGAACCAGGTAGTTTAGCAGGGAGGAAATCAGCAAACAAGGAAATTATGAAAGACTTAATGTAGAAGATGGTACTTGAGCCTCATTTTAAAGGGAGTAAAGGATTCTATCAAGCAGGGATAAGGAAGTAATACATTTCAGGTGTGTGGCATAATTAGTACAAAAGTATGAGGACTAGAGATAAAGTGTCAAATGTGAGGAAAAGTGTGAAGGCCATTTTGGCTGGATAGGAAAACACTGGAGGGAAGGATTATATAATGAGACTAGAAAAAATAGGTTACAGTCAAGTTGTGAAGGGTTTTTAAAGCAAAATAGAGTTTATATTTTGTTCTAGAAGCAATAGAAAGCCACTGGGGTTAAATGAGTAGGGAAATCACATGGTTTGATCTGTGCTTAAGGAAAATTACTTTGACAGCAGTATGTAGAATGGACTTGTCAGGTAAAGGGAGCAACTTAACACATGGAATCCAAGAAACAACATTTTTTTTTTTAAAAAGGGACAAGACTTAAAATACTTGAGATTTCTGATTAATTCAATAACTGACCATGATTCCAGAGTGTTGATAATGAAGAATGCTATCTGAATGAGAAGTGATGGCTTCAATATGCAGAATGAGATATACAGTTTTGCATATAACCAATGCAGAAATTTGTTTTGATCAACTATGCATATTTGTTAAGAGATTTTGTTTTTCTTTTATTTTTTTTCCAATGGTAGGGAAGAATTGGGAGAGATCATAAATGTTTTTGTTAGCTAATTTTTAAATTAGGGGCATCTAGGTGATATAGTGGATAGAGTGCCAAGCCTGGAGTCAGGAAGACTCCTCTTCCTGAGTTCAAATCTGACCTTAGACAATTACTAGTTGTGTGACCTTGGGCAAGTATCTTAACCATGTTTGACTCAGTTTCCTCATCTGTAAAGTGAATGGAAGAAGGAAATGGCAAATCACCATGATATCTTTGCCAAGAAAACTCCAAATGGAGTCAGATATGACTGAAACGAGTGAATGGTAATGGTGATGAAGGATTGAATTTAGGTAGGGGCTGTGTGAGCAGAGAATTAGATTTGTGAGATTCTGGGAAGATAGAGATGTCAAGATTTGGCAAGTGATTGGGTATGTGGGATAAAAGAGAGTTAGGAGTTGAGAATAATGCCAAAGCTATGAGCCTGGGGAACTGAGAGGGAGAGAGATAAGTTCAATTTTGGACATATTGAGTTTGAGACGTCTCCAGGACATCCAATTTCTAATAGGCAATTGGGGATATGGGAATGAAGCTCAGAAGACATCTGGGACTGGATGTATAGAAATAGGAGACATATAACCCATGAGAGTTTACCAAGCAAGACAGTATAGAGCAGGGTTTCTTTAAAAAACATGTATAATGTAGCCTTTGGCAGTCTAGTGAAACCTATGGAAGCCTTCTCAGAATAATGATCTTTAAATAATTGATGGAGATGCTAAAGTTCAGTTAGAGGTTGGTTTAAAAAAAAGTAATGACATTTTTCCCATCGAAATTCACAGACTCCCTGAAATCTATTTGAAATAGAAAAGAAGAATGCCAAATGAGAACCTCAAGGAATAGTCACAGTTAGGTGGCAGGATATGGATGATTAGTGAACAAAGGAGATTTAGAATAAGTGGTCAGATAGGTAGAAGCTACATCAGGAAAGACTAGTGTCAGTATAAAATATACTATTACATCAAGGGCCATCAAAATTGCAGGAAAGTAAAAGTATACTCAATCTTTCAAATCAATTACACTTTGGGTGACTAAGGGGAAAAAAAAGACAAGTTCATTCCCCTCCCTCTTAAAAAAGTTTTCCCAATTGCATAAAGTATAAAGAAAAGGAGAGCATAGTTAAAATGAGCTAGGTTCTATGAAGTGCCTCATATAGTTCCTTGTACACAGCAGGTGTTTACTAAATGTTTGTTGCACTAAGTTAAATTGAATTACATCACAGTTTTCAATAGCACCATTTTTCTTTGGTTGACAGATGGTTTAATTAAGTAAAATTCTTTCAGATGGAGCCTTATTTTCTCATTCTGATGGCATGTAATGTTGAAATCACAGCTTGTATCTAGAGTCCCTGTCCTAAATAGGAAACAAATGAACAAGTACTTTACTAACAAAGAGGGAAATGAATTTTAAAGAGGGGAGGTCCGGAACTCACCTTCCCTTTTTTTCCCTGTGTTTGTTGCTTTTTATATTGTTTGGGAGTTCGGAAAGAAACTTTACTACATTAAAGAGCATTCATTCATTCATTCTTGATTCATTAATTCAATAACCACCTATTAGGTGACTACAATGCATGAAGTACAATTCTATATGCTGGCAGAGACACAGAAACAATTAATAAAACACTTTTTTTTGTTTGATTGTTTTGATCTTGGTCAAAGATGTTTCTAACATGTTTGAATGCAATGGTTCCGCTTTTCTTAAGTTTGGGAATTACCAGAAGGCCCTGTCGTTGGCCTTCTTATTACTCTATAAACTCTCTATGGCAATTCCAATCACTACCAGAGTTTCAATCTTGTTAATACTTCTATGCAAATGACTCTATAGAAATCAAAATATTAAGCTTAAATCTCTTTCCCTAACCTTCTGATCTCCTACTTTTGTATTTTTATCTATCTATCCACTCATTATTCATTTGTTCATTTGTTTATTTGTTTGTTTGTGGCAGTGAGGGGAATAGTGGAGTCAGGAAAAACTGAATTCAAATCCTGCCTCAGATGCTTTCTAGCTATGTGACCCTGAGCAAATAATTTAACTTTTCTCAGGCTCACTTTCCTCATCTGTAAAAGTGGGGTTAATAACAGCACCTACTTCACAGGGTTTTGTTTTGGGTTTTGCTTTGTTTTTCAAATGAGATAATATGAAAAACACTTAGTAAACTTTAAAATGCTTTGTAAATGCTATTGATTGTTGCCAAAATTATGATATGCAGTTAGATGGATGTATGTTTTACACACCCACACACCCACCCACCCCCACACACACACACACACACATATGATACAAATCTAGGAGGGACAGCTAATATTTTGGATGACAGACTCATGATTCAAAAGGATATCAGTGGCCAAAGATGGAATCATTGGCCGAATTCAGCAACTGAAATTCAGTAGAAATAAATATAAAGTCATACAATTAAGTTCAAAATACTAATTACATAAGAACAGGCTGGAGTAGGCCTAGCTAGACAATAGAGTAGCAAAGCTGTGTTGTTTTTAGTGAAATCTAAGCTCAGTATCAGTTCAATAATATGGCAAGGTAGCCCCCAAAGCTGAAAGTTTCTTCAGCTGCATTAATAGTTGTGGCCTCTTCCTAACTTGCCCATTACAGTGGTATATATCACCATCCTCCTTATTGCCTGGGCTTGCCACCTACATATCATCCTCAACAATTCCCTCTCTTCTTCATCCATCCCCATGTCTAATCCTTGCCCAGTCCTGTCATCTCTATCTTTGTGACATCTATTTTATATGCCCTCTTCTCTTATCTGACACTCTTACCACCACCTACTAAGACCCATACCATCTTACATCTGGATTACTTCAATAGCCTGCTGGTTGGTCTTCTTAAGTTTTCCCCCACTCTAGTCCACCTATCACTCAGTTGTAAAACTCATCTTCCTGAAATGCAGATCTGACTAAGTCCCATCCTAGTGCATAAACTCCAGTAGCTCTTTATCACCTCCAGGATCAAATATAAAATTCTCTGTTTGGCATTTAAATCCTTCCATAACCTGCCCCCTTGACCATGATAACCCTCAGACTACACTAGGAGTTTAAGGGTTAGTTTTGGTAGTTTCATTTTAGGAAGAACAGTGTTAAGTTGAAATGCATTCAGAGAAGAGTAACTAGAATGGTAAGGGGACTGAGACCATGCCAAATGCAAAGTTGAAAAAAAAAGTGATAATGGCTTTTTGGTAGATTGAAGCATTTGTCTTCGAGTATCTGAAAAATTATCATGTGAAAGAATCATTACAATTTTTCTGTTTGTCCTCTAAGGGAAGAGGTGGAAACAATGGGTAGACATTATAGAGGCACATTGCCTCTCAATTAAAAAACAAAACAAAACAAAACAAAAAAAACTTCCTGACAATTGGATCTGTCCAAAACTAGAATAGGATGCTTTGGTAGCTAGTAGGCTCCCTATTGATGGAAGACTTCTAGTAGATTTTTATTATATACAATCTAGTATTGTGATTCCAGGTTAAATGACCAACAAGATAGAGGACTAAATATTTTCTCTAGTACCTAATGACTCTCAAAAACTCCCCAAAATAGGAATTATTTACAAAAACTCAAAGCTATCTCTACAGGATAACACCAAGAAGCTTAACAAAGTAACAATCTGATGAATTAAGAGCAGAGAAGAGTAATCCCTAATTTGTAACCTGCTCACTCAGCTCCTCCTTCTCTCATCTCCTGCCTTGCTCTGGCAATGTGGCATAACCTATCCCGCTGGCCTGTACTGAGGTCCATTGAGAAATTTCCTTATTTCTGTTATAGTTTCTGCCCAGTTACATTCTGTCCATGCCTCACCCCATTTTTCTGTGGCAACAAGCAACTCTGCCCAACCACTTGCAGGGGAGGAGAAGTGAAGGAAAATAGAAGCATGTTCTGCCTAGGTTGGCAGCACACTGCAGTAGTACTCATACAGATAATTAAAGAAAAGAAGGAATAGATCAGAGAATCAGGATGCCTCTTGGGTTACACTAGCCCTGAAAGAAAAGCAAACTGGTATCCATCTGCAACCATTCCTATTCACCTTGAAGTCATGTGGGGTATGGACTGAAGACATTGAAAAGTGAATTCCAAATGTAAAAGAAAGCTACATGAAGAATGTAACTTTCCCTTAAGTTTCCCTTTGAGTTATCTACTGATTCCTTCCTCTTTGATAGTGAATGTCTTGGGGTACATTCCAAAGGGAGAAGGAAGATAAAACCTGCACACAAATAACCATGGTATCAGGTGAAAGATGGGTGAAAAAAGCACTGAATTTGGAGTCAGAGAACCTGGGATTAAATCCTGTCTCTGTTATCATTTCCTGTGACTTTGGGTGAGTTGCTTCAACTCCTTGAGACTCAGTTTCTTTAGCTTTAAAATATAGAAAATGAATTTGATGAACTCGACGGTCCCTTCCATCTCTAAAGTCTATGATCCTATTGTCCACAGTGCAAAAGGGGAGGAAGTCAAGGCTAAGGGCCAAAAACAATTTGAGGATAGATATAATTAATCAAACTATCCACCAGTAGGCATTTTTAGGCACCTCTTGTTAGCCAGACACAATGGTTCTAGGTACTGGGGATACAAAGAAATGAAACAGTGTCCACCGTCGTAGAGTTTACATTCTATAGGCAGTCATAAAAAGAACGTAGTGTATTCTTAATTTCATCTGCTCACATAGGCTAGGGAAGGTGATCTGAACCCTCTGGGGATCCCTACCTGAAGAACTGCAATATATCCTCCAATCACCTAAGGATAGACACCTGAACAACACCCCATTCCCCTTGCCCCAGCCCTCTCATAAACCCTCAGCTTTCACCTAGTTACTCCAACCACTTACTCATTCTCTTTTTCCTTCATACAATCAAATCCTTATCTATAATTTGTCACAAATAGCTAGGGATCCATTTCCAGTTCTGCCTGTTAAATTACCAGTTGCTTCTGTGATTAAATATAAGATTGCTCCTATGCACTTACTAATGACTGTATTTAAGTCATATATACAGTTTAAAATATATTTATTTATGTATATGTCCTATACCTTAGTAGATTGAAAGGTCTTTAAAGGCAAGGAATATATCATTTTTCATCTTTATATTTCTAAAGTTTGCCTATAAACTATGGGACCTCACACATAGTAGGTGATGAATAAATACAAACCATCATCATCATCATTATTATAAATGTTTCTTAAAGAAATGGATGAATGGGTGGATGCCATCCAAATATTAGTCTTTGCTTTACTCCCATAGCATAATATCTATGTCACCTGATTATACTCTTACTCCCCCAGTTTTCCACCTCTACTGTTTCAAAGAATCCTGGCTTAATGATTGTTCCAATCCTTGATGCATGCAGTATCTCTGATTGATGTTAATGAGCATCATACAGGGGAGAAAAGAGACCTCAATTGTTCTGAATATAAAACCAGAAAGATGAAGAGTTGTTTGTGACCATAATTGTAACCAAAAATGAGAACCAGATGGGAAAAGAAAGGGAGGAAAATATGAATAATCACAGTGGAACTCTCCTGAAAGATAACTTTTTAAAAAGATAAACAAAATATCAGCACATTTTCCATTCTCTTGCCATTAATACATTACACAGCTGAAGGAAAATGTATCTCCAAACTGTTAAGGGAACATGATTGTATGCTTCCTAAATCACCTTTAAACATCTTTTAAAGCCATGTATGAGACACACATATATAAACACACACACTTTAAACTGTCTTGTTAACTGAACTAAAATTCTGCTAAAGCTAAATGATAATGGCTGGCTGTAACCCCAGGCTTTAGGCTGTTCTGGGCCTGGGACTTTTTTTTCTCCTAAGAAAAGATGGTTATGGGATGAGTAACTTGTGACTTTACAAGAGATTTGGTATTTTTCTTCTGTAGCCAATCATTTGCCAATCTCATTCCAATTTATTGAAAGCCCAATAACATCAACAGAAACCTTTAGTGCTCACCTACAATGTAAGGAGCACTGTGCTAAATGCTTAAGAAAAATACAAATTTTAAATGACACAGTCCCTGACCTTACAGAATGTCTGGTCTCAGATTGCTTAAGATTCCACTAATTGTCCCACCTCGTGTCTCCATTCAAAATGGAGCAACAAACTTACAGACAACAAATAGTAGTAACATTCTTATACCAATATATCTAGAGGTATTCAGAAGATCCTAAAACCTGAATGGGCAGGTAGGTGGCACAGTGAATAGGGAGCTGGGCCTGGAGTCAGGAAGAATTGATGCTCAAATCTGGCCTCATATACATACTAGTTGTATTACTCTGGGAAAGTCACTTAATCTGTTTACCTCAATTTCCTCATCTATAAAATGGGGATAATAATATAACCTACCTTCCAGAATTGTCATGAAGATCAAATAAGATAATAATTTTAAAGCACTTAACACAGTGCCTGGCACATCATCTTCATCATAACAAATGCTCATATAGCTCTTACTAAATAAATGTTTGTTATTATTATTGTTACTATAAAATTCTGGTTTTAAATGAAAAAATCAGTTTGACATTTAGCTAAATTTTTTATTAGTTTTGTTTTGGGTTTTTGTTGTGTTTTAGGAGGGTTTGGTTGTTTGTTTTTTTTTTAAATTGGCAGACTATTGCCTATGCTAAACATTTAAGGGAATACACACACACACACAACACACACACACACACACATACACACGCTTACACAGATCTTGCCCTCTGGTAGCCTACAACATAGCTAAATATCAAAGTCAACCTTCATACACAAAACAGTCAAGCAGAAATACAATGCAATAGTTATTGATAAAAGCAACAAGTAAAATCATTCAAAACACAGGGAGACTGATATGGGCTGATGATTCTCAAATCTACCTTACCTACCCCAATCTTTCTGCTTACTTTAGATCACATATCTCCAACAGCTTTTCAGACTTGTCAAACTAGATGTCCAGGAGACATCATAAACTCACCAGGTCCAAACTGGAGTTCAATATCTTTCCTCCTAAACCCTCCACACCTACCACCTTTCCTATTTACTGTAGAGGGCAACACCTTCTCCCAGTCCCATGTTCTCATATCTTAAGATTCATCTTGTATCTCTCATTATTTTTCACCTTCCATATCAAATCTATTGCCAAGCCCAATCAATTTCACCTTTGCAATATCTCTAAAAAAAAAAAAACCCTCCTTTTTCTCCTCTGGCACTGCCACCATTGTGGTGGCCCTTGTCACCTTACCTCTAGACTATTGTAATAGCTTGCAGATGGGTCTCCTTGCCTCAAGTTCCTCTCCACTCCAATCCATTTTCCATTCAGTCACTAAAGTGATTTTCCTAAAGCACAAATCTGATTGTGCCACCAACACCACCACCCCACTCAATAAACTTCAGTGGCTTCCTATAGTCCCCAGGAGCAAATACAAAATGCTCAGTTTGGTATTCAAAGCCCTTTATAACCTATCCCCCTCCTACCTTTCCAATCTTTTTACACTTTACTCCCCAACACATACTCTTTGATCCAGTGACGCTGGCTTCCTGGTCATTCCATGAACAAGACACTCTATTTCTCAGCTCCAGGAATCTTCTCTGGCTGTCTCCCAGGCTTGGAACACTATCCCTCCTCTGCTCTACCTACTAACCCCTCTAGCTTCTTTTAAGTCCCAACTAAAATCTCATCTTTTACTAAAAATTTTCCTCTGTCCCTCTTAACTGTCTCTCTGTTAATTATGTCTTATTTATCTGGTATATAGCTTGTTTGTATGTATTTGTTTTCATGTTGTTTCCCTCATTAGATTGTAAGCCCATTGAAATCAGAGACTGTCTTTGGCTTCTTTTTATATGGCCAGTGCTTAGCATTGCAAATTAAGCACATAGTAGGTACTTAATAAATGTTTATTGATTGATTGATTGAAATCTATTATCTCCAGCCCTGATATCTTCTTTGAGCTATAGTCCTGTGTTTACAGTAATCTGTCAGATAGTCCTACCTAGACCAGCCCCTTAACTCAGGATGTTCAAAATTAAAATCATCTAGCAAGAAAAATTGACCCTATTCCATACTTTACCATCTCTACTGATAGTACCACCAAAGGAAATTTATTTTGTCCCAGGATGTCTTTTTCTTCTTTCTCTGGTTGTGCAGGCATGATATTTACAAAAGTTCAAGTGAAAATTTTTCTAACTAAACATTAGTCTCCACAAGAAATATCCCTGCTATAGGAAATGACATGAATTCTGAGTTGGCACTAATTAATACTAGGGTGAAAGTAAAATTCACTATAACATAATCTATGAGGGGGGGAGGAAGAATCAGAGAGAAAAGAATTGCAAGCAAACCCTTATTGTAAATAAAATTGTAGGAGAATATCTACACTACTTTAAACAATAAATGATTTTTCAACTAGTACCATAGATTTGGAGGTGGAAGAGATTTTAGAGGTCATTGAGTGGAATGCTCTCATTTTACAAATAAGGAAAATTAGACCAAAAAAGTTAGTTTGGTAGCACAATTTACATAAAATTAATTTGCTAAGTATAAAGCATTTATATTTTCATTCAAGCAAGCCCTCTAAGAATCCTTACTAAATAACAGTTTTAGCCTAATTCAAGTAACTCTATGTGTTTCTAAGTAATAAAATTAATTTTTCTCTAAATTTGTCTATAATTCATACTTTTCACTAATTCAGACAGGCTAACTCCTATTTACCTTGAACTGGTAAGGTTTTATTGTATAACTCTAAAATACATGTCTCTAAAGGAATTCCTCCAAACTCTAATTTACTGATCTTTCATAAATAAATGTTCCTGAAGGTGATTTCATTTAAAAATGAACTTTGCATTAAGGTGAAGCAGTATAAATAACAAGCATACATATGGAGCCAAACAACCTCTCACCTCTCATTTCCTGAGGCAATATCAGCTCCAAGATGCGTCCAGGCCTTCCTGGGGTATGCACTATGAAGTTGTACCTTCCCATAAACCCCTGGAGCAAGTAGAAGACATGCACAGGAAATTAATAAGCATAGCAAAAGAAGATCACTAAAGAAGTTAGAATGCAAAAAAAGGATAATGGTAAAAAAAAAGTATATAACAGATGTTGAAAAGTTTACATTTAATCTGCTAAGATCAATGTGGATGCTCTAAATACCTTTATATTGTCCCAAGTGTACCCAAGTGGCAATGATATTGGTAAGCTGTGGGCCATGTAAGGAAAATGAAATTTTATATAATACAAAGATGATGCAAAGCTTAGAAATAAATCTATACTCAATGGGTGTGGAGCCAAGATGGCAGAGTAAAAGCAGTTACTTTCTTGAGCTCTCCCCCAAACCCTTCCAAATACTTGTAAAAATGCCTCTAAACAAATTCTATAGCAGCAGAATCCACAAAAAGCCAAAGTGAAACAAATTTCCAGCCCAAGGCTGGATGCTTGAAGGGAAACGTCTGTTTTGCCTGGCTGGGAAAGGAGTGTAATGCAGAATGTACTGTGCAGGCAAAGACTGGGCCACAGCAAACTCAGAGCAGGCCTCAGGAAACTGAATCACAGGTAACTGTGACAGTTTCCAGACTTCTCAACCCACATAGTTGTCAAAGACAACTTACAAGGTCAGTGGGAAAGGTCTGTTGGACCTGGGTGAGAGAGGAGCACAGTCTGGCCCCAGTCATTGTGCAGCCATGGGGCAGTGGTCACAGCAGCAGCGGCTGCTTCTAGAGCTCTCAGCCCACAGAGGGTCGAGGGATCCAGTGACTGATCAGAGGGGGATTGCAGAGATCTCTTTGCTGGCACTGAAGCAGGATTCTCTTGCTTTGCCTCTGCTTGGATCTGAGTCATAGTCCTGGGTGGCAATCCTGGGGCAGGAGGGGCACTGGCAAGGCAGCCCTTGTGGAGATGGTGGAGAGTGAACTCTTCTTACATTTCCAAGGCAGAAAAGAGTGCTTGTTGTCACTCATACATGAGAGCACAGGCCAGGAAAGGAGTAACACCTCTTCTTTGATCATATGACCTTGGAAGAACTGAAAATGTCAGGTCCCTAGAAGTATCTCTGAAAACAGCTGCACAAAACCCCTGAAGCAAGCAGAACCCTACCTTAATAAAGAGTTTAAAAGTCAAGTAATTGGCTGGGAACATGAGCAAATAGTGGGAAAGAATCTCAGACTATAGAATCATACTTTGCTGACAAAAAAGATCAAAACATACAACCAGAAGAAGACAATAGAGTCAAAGCTCCTACATCCAAAGCCTCCAAGAAAAAGATGAATTGGTCTCAGGCCATGGAAGAGCTCAAAAAGAATTTTGAAAAGCAAGTAAGAGAAGTAGAAAAAAATTGGGAAGAGAAATGAGAGTGATGCAAGAAAATCATGAAAAAGAGTCAATAGTTTGCTAAAGGAGAACCTAGAAAATATTGAAGAAAATAACACCTTAAAAAAATAGACTAGGCCAAATGGCAAAAGAGGTCCAAAAAGCCAATGAGGAGAAGAATGCCTTATACAGCAGAATTGGCCAAATGGAAAAGAAGGTCCAAAATCTCACTGAAGAAAATAATTCCTTAAAAATTAGAATGGAGCAAATGGAAGCTAATGACTCTATGAAAAATCAAGACATTATGAAACAAAACCAAAAGAATGAAAAAAAAATAGAATACAATATGAAATATCTCATTCAAAAAACAACTGACCTGGAAAATAGATCCAAGAAAGATAATTTAAAAATTATTAAACTACTTGGAAGCTATGATCAAGAAAAAGAGCCTAGACATCATCTTTCAAGAAATTATCAAGGTAAACTGTCCTGATATTCTCGAACCAGAGCGTAAAATAGAAACTGAAAGAATTCACTGATCAGATATGTTTTTTTTAAATTATGTAATTTAAAGGCTTTCTAAGAACAACAAGAATAATACACTTGCATTGGTTGCAATTATGATTAAATATAAACCTGTGGGAAATCAAAAAACATCAGAGCTGCAATCCCCCTCTGATCAGTCACTGGATCCCTCCACCCTCTGTGAGAAATGAGGTGAGAGGGAAATCTCATTGGATTTGGCTTAAGGAGGGAATAACATACACACTCAATTGGGTATGGAAATCCATCTTACCCTACAGGAAAGTAGGGGGGAAAGGGATAAAAGAGGAGGGATGATAAAAGGGATGTCAGATTGGGGGAGGGGATAATCACAAACAAACACTTTTGAGGAGGGACAGGGTCAAAGGAGAGAATAGAATAAACAGGGGGTGGGATAGGATGAGGAAATACAGTTAGTCTTTCACAACATGACTATTATGGAAGTGTTTTGCATGACTACACATGTATAACCTATATTGAATCGCTTGCCTTCTCAATGAGGGTGGGTGGGGAGGGAGGAAGGGAGAGAATTTGGAAAAATAGTTTTTACATACAACTAAGAAATAAGATATACAGGCAAAGGGGTTTAGAAATCTATCCTGCCCTACAGGAAAATAGAAGGAAAAGGGAATAAGAGAAGGAGGGGGGTGACAGAAGGGAGAGCAGATTGGGGAAAGGGGTATTCAGAATGCACCATCTTGGAGTGGTGGGGAGAAAATTTAGAACTCAAAATCTTGAGGATGTGAATGTTGAAAACTAAAAATAAATTAATAAAAAAGAAAAAAATCTATAATCAGTAAGTCAATAAACATTTTTAAAACACCTACTATGTGCCAGGCACTGTGTTAAGCAGTGGGAATATAAAAAGAGGCAAAAGGCAGTCACTGCCCTCAAGGAGCTTACAATCTAATGCGGGAGATAACATGCAAACAAATATATACAAAGCAAACTTTATACATGATAAGAGGGAAGGCACTAGAATTAAGAGGGGTTGGGGAAGACTTCCAGTAAAAGATGGGATTTTAGTTGGGACTTAAAGGAAATCAAGGAGGTCAGTAAAATCTGTAGAGAAAGATATCATATTTAAAGAATTGTCTACTAGAATACCACTGAAATCACTGCCCTTAATATACAAATTTGTTGTTGGGGTATTTTATGTTATTTAGTATGTATGGAGTGGGAGCAGGGCCAGGGTGGAGTGCATTTTGCTTCCTAGAGGAGAGGGATTTAGTGTCATTGGTTTTGTTTCCAGTAATTCACATTAATCTTTTGTTCTGTTAGACTTATCAAAGACTACATCTTTAGGTCCTTGGTTTCAAAATATAATTCTCATCAGACAAAAGGGTTAAAGTCTTAACAGAGATTTGCTTGATGCAGTCCAGCTATATTCCTTCAAGTCTTTCTTTCTGCACACACATAAAGTGCCAAGCTCCATTTTAAACATAATTCTCAATTCTCCAGAACCCACAATTCTCAGCAATGACTTTCCTAAGAAAAAGAGGGCCAAAAAAAACCTTATTTGTATAATTTGTCCACTTTCTGTCTCCTACAACATCTGGCTTGATACAAGCACTTAAAGAATGTTTACTAATTAGCAAGTAAAACAAAACCTCAATGAACTAGAACCTAAACGAATAGAACTCTAAATGGTAGGATTTTTTTCTTCATTGTGATTTATAAGAAAAGGCCAATTTTAAAAGTTGATATTAGTTTTGTTTTTGGTTTTGTTTTTGTTTTTTGGAGGATAAGGAAAAGAGGAAAGATAAAGAAAGAAAGGGAGGGAGGGAGACAGGGAAAAGGAAAAGAGAAATTAGAAAAGAGGAAAGAAAGGGGGGACTGACTAGAGGAAAAGGAGAAGAGAGGAAGAGAGGTAAAAAATAAGACAGAAAAGGAGACAGAGAAGAGGTGAGGGGAGGGGAAAGGAAGGAGAAAAGAGTGGGAGGGTAGGAGAAGGGGAGGAGGGGGAGGAGAAGACAGAAAAGGAGAGGACTTCCAGAGTATAGCCTGTATTATTACGAATTTTTTTTTCAATCTCATATACTTTCTACATATGTTATCACAGATTTTTTTCAGTCTCATATGCTTTCTACATCTATGGGCTTTTACATAATGAGAATTGGCTTCATGATGCAAGAAAGTGGACTAACATATTTTTGGAAGATTTAAAGCAACAAAAAAAGCTTTTGCTTTTTATAAGCAAAATAGAAAAAAAAGCTTATTGTTTAATCCTGAATTAGTCCAACATTTCAAATAATCCATTAATGCACTATTTCTTTGAACATCCTTATTAATGAAGATTAAGAGAAGCTAAATCTGTCATTTATGTTGCAATTTTACTTGCTTCATGGTAGATAATTATGGACCCAGCATGATAGGAGGACAAAACCCTACTATTTCTTTGTTCATTTCATTCTAGTACCACAAAGACTTGAGAGAAACTCAATTATGAGATCCTTAAGGTTATATCTCATCACCATCTTTCTATCCCTATAATACCTGACACTATTCTTCAAACATATTAGGTGCTCAATAAGTATTTCTTGAAAATTAGAAGGCTGATGATGACACTAACTGAATAAACTTCACCAATCCAATAATATCATTGTTTCTCATTATTCTAATGAACTAACCTCCAAAGAGGGCTTTTCTGAGGTTTAACTGAGAATCTAGAATGTATTGGATACTGCCCAAAACCTGCATTCAGAGCATGACCTTTGATTGGAGATGGTGGAAGTTGGATATCAGAGAACTCCCCCCAGATCCTTTATTTAAGGAGGGAGCCCAGGCAGACACCTCATCACTTCCCACCTGGTTATAGGACATTGTCATTCCCCTACCCATGGTACTCACTCTCCCTTCCCTTCCTCCACCCCTCCACTTTTCAGTTTCTTTTTATGCATTTTCTTCCCCGTCAGATTTTTAGATTCTCTAGGACAAGGAATGTCTTTTGTCTCTTTTTAAAAATTTTAGCCACAGTGCTTAGCACAGTGACTGCCATGCAATAGGCACTTAATAAATGTTTATTGACTGACTAAATGAATGAATATTTAAGATATGTTTTTTTAAAATTATGTAATTTATAGGCTTTCTAAGAACAACAAGAATAATACACTTGCACTGGTTGCAATTATGATTAAATATAAACCTGTGTGAAATCAAAAAACATCAGAGCTGGCCAAAGGGACAGACAGACAGACAGACAGAGATATAGAAACAGAGTAAAACAGAGAGATGATAGAGAAATAGATAATAGATATAGAATAGAGAAATAAATGCTCTATATAAATGATAGATATAGAAATATTTAGATAAAGATGTAGATAATATAGAAATAGATGATAGAAAGATAACGATGATATAGAAAGAGGTGATAGTTGTTTTTGTTCATGTTCATCCTTTATTTTTGAAGAAAAACAATGACATCATGAGTGTGATTATATAGATATGGATAATATAGAAATAGATGATAGAAAGAGAAATTGATTGATAGATCATGTGGCATTATCAGCTATGCATTCAGAGAAAACAAATTATCACATTTTCTAGAACCAACAGGTAGAGATGATCTAATGCTTAATGGTGTTAAGAGTCCTTGGAGGGACCCTGAGAAATAAGAAAGCAATTCTCTGACCATCTTCATTATCCAATATAGAATCACCCAAACCAAGGAGGAGGCAGAACTTAGTACAATCAGAGGGGGAAAGTTCATTATTCCTTTTAAAACCGAATTAAAAATTCCATTTAAAACTGAAATATTTGTAGGATACAATATATGTAACCGAGAAGCCATTTTAGGTTGTATTTTTTTTCTATGACATCTTTTTTAGTTGGATCTATCATTATAGCATCAGCAAATGTACTGGCTGCCTATACTGTTTTACTGCAATATGATCAACTAGAAAGATCTCACAACTAATAAAAATCCACCCAAAATTGTCTAGTAGGCATGCATAAGAGCAGATTCACAGCAAGTCTCCTTCCTGCTTCCCACACACACAAGTATGTAAATGCAACACGTTTATATTTGGATTTGATGTAATTTTAATCCAAATGGATGACTGCAGAGCAACTGCCTCTACCAATGAAGATCAGTGCCAGATTAATAATCTTAAAGACTTGTCTGGGACACTGAGAGGTTTAGTGACTTATCCAGGGTCGCATAACCAATATGTGTCAGAGGCGGTTAACACAGGATATTCTGATTTCAAAGCCAGCACATTACATGAGTATGCCAGATACCTTTCTACGTGCTATTTACTTAATTTAAAAAGACATAAACACATATTCCTACCAATAGTTCCCGGAGCAATATTAATTCCATCCAAACGATCGCAGTAGACTCCTGCAGAGGCTTGAAGCTGGATCAAAAGGGTTTTTCCTTTCTGTAAGGGCTCAGAAAAATTACCTGTTTAAAAAGAAAAGTTTTCCAATAACTTCATTTGAAGTTTAAGGATTATGTTAGACTTTCAAGAAGGCAAAGGCAAGTGAATATATTAGACTATGTAGATGAGTTACTGTAACATGCACTAAATTATACACATATGTATATTATATAACATATTATATATATGTATATCATATGTGTATATAACATACAGAAACCTATAACTACACAATGAATGAGCTAATTACAAATATTTAGATTTGCTCATTCAAGTGAGCTTGGTAAAAAAATTTACTAAGCAACATTTTAACCAAGTTATTGTGTGATTATATATATGTGTGTGTATATATACAGAGTATATATATATATATATGTGTGTGTGTAATGTGTGTATACATATATACATATGTATAAATACATACATATATGCATATACACAACCTATATAATGTACAAATGTGTTATTTGTATATAATTTATAATACTTGGTGTAGGTATACATGCATATGCATAATATATGTATACATGTCAATAGACTTCTTGAATAGGAGAGGAACCTATGTGCACATGTGTACAACTAACTGGTTTTCCCTTTTTGTCCTCAACTTTTAAAAGTGCTTTTCTTTCTGCATATCAATATCTCCTGATTTACTGGACTCGATTGAAGTTTCCACTTGTTATATCTTTAACATCTTCTCTTGCTCCATATAAACAGAAATTACAATGTGGGGAAGGCATATATGGTTTTCCCAAAGGTCTCACATAAATATAACCTGGAAGTGTGAGCTATTTTACAAATGCCAAATTTCACAGATCAGATACAAACTTAATACATACAGGCTCAAAGTACAACTTTCTACATTATGTGGATGAAATTTTTGGACTGCTGAAACATATCCAATGGTTCTACCAAGTAGACAAATTCCATATTTTTTAAGGAATGTTTTCTTTTCTGAGCCTAACACTGATTCATTCATTTAACAAGGGTTTTAAAGCACCTACTGTGTGCTAGACATTGTACTAATCATTGGAAATACAAGTATAAAAACAATATAATATGGTATAAACACAATCCATTAATACCGACACCACAACTCCCTGGCAGAAATTGACAACAGCACATGACTAATGTGGAAATATGTTTAATGTGACTGTACATGTATGGCTTATATCAGATTGAACACCATCTTGGGGAGGGAGAAGAGGAAGGAGGGGGAGAAAATTTAAAACTCAAAATTTTGTAAAGGTGAATGTTGAAAACTAAAACTAACTAAATAAATATTAAGAAAGAAAAGAAATTGACAACAGTCATCCTCCATTTTACAGGCAAGAATAGAGAAGTTTTATGAGATTTATCTGAAGAATTCACATCCTTGCCAAGACTGGCAGAAAGAATAAGTTCAAGGAGGATTATTTCTTTCTGGAGATATTTTCCTATCCTTTTGTACCTGGTGGTATAGACATAGTTTCACTGAAATTGAATAAGGAAGTAATGGGGAGTAAGAAGGAAGTGCAGTAAGGAGAGAAGGAGAAATAAAGTCAGCATACACAATGGATTGAAAATACATACAGAGGGGCAGCTAGGTGGTGCAGTAGATAGAGCACTGGCCCTGAAGTCAGGAGGACCTGAGTTCAAATCCAGCCTCAGACCAAACACTTGACACTTACTAGCTGTGTGACCCTGGGCAAGTCACTTAACCCCAATTGCCGAAAAAAAAAAGAAAATAGATACAGAAAAGTCCAGCAAGAAAGCTAACTTTCTAGATTTATGACTATTGAGATAAGAAGGATAAATTTGAGAACAATTATAGATTTATATATGTATATTATACCTTCTTTACAAGAAAAAGATTTATTTTATCATATCATCTAAGTTGCAATTTAAATATCCTAGTGCAAAGTCTTCTATTTCATAGTAAGAACAACAGAATAATAAAGGTATAAGGCATCACAGAAATTTTCTAGTCTTTCCCCCCTCAAATTTGTTTTTTTTAATTGATATCTTTTGATTTTACATTGCCTAAGTTTCCATTAGATCTCTGCTTCTCTCAGAGAGCCACCTCTTATGACAGAATGTTATAAATGAGCCCTCTTAGAACAGGGCTTCCAAGTCCAATGGAAATCTTAAGAGTTATCTAATCTATATGAGTAGTCATTTTGATGGATCTAACTATTGAGTGTAAAGAAATTATAATTATAAAATTATTACCAACCAATTGCTACTAAGCTAACTAATAAACCCTCTAGGTGTTATTTGTAAATATTTCAATCTCATTGCATGGTTTTGGAGAGCCTCAAAGGCATGGCATAGTCAAATAGGTCAGTATTTTAATCCACATGTTGCAGGTATAGGGGATAGACAGCAGAGACGGAGATGTTAAGTGAATCTGCCTAGGGTCACACAGCAAGTGAATAAGAGATCAAGGATTAGAACTCACAGCCTATGAATTTCCAGCGTGTGGTTTAACCCATTAAGCCACTCTGTCCCTCTGTGTAGGTAATAGCATTTATACTATCAGCAGAACGACTAATGGGTTCTCTCAGCCAATATGAAGATGTTGCTAGAGCAGAAAGAAGGGGAACAGAGAGGAGGGGGAACGTTAAAGTAAATGTGTTTGGTGTAGCCCTTATCTTGTGGTGATAAGTCTGTACAGTAAGCTGTATTCCAACTGTGATTTCATTTATTTCACGGAGGGTAGTTTACAGTATTGGAAAAAAATGGCCTAGCATTAAACAGATACCAGGGAGGAAAAAGTAGGACAGTTTTTGCCCTAGAGAAATGTATGCAGAGTCCAGCAAAAAAAGAGGTCAACGTTCCTCTAAAATTAGAGATTAAATCAATTATGCAACACAAAACTGCAGCAGATGTGGATATTTTTTATGTCTGTGCAAAATTATCCAGCTTGCCATGATCTTCCAATATCTGAAACGACCAGGTTTTATTTTGTTGGTCTCCTTGGTTCAAGAGGTAGAAAGATGGTGGGAATGGAAAGTAGAAGGAAGTGAATAGGTGGTATAGATGAGAAATCCTAACAAAGTGTTCTTCTGACTTTAAAATGAAGTGTTTTTTTTCCCAAGCTCTAAAGGCCTGGGTTCTCCCTTTATTCCCAGAATGAGTAAAAAGAGGTTAAGTGACTTACCCAAAGTTACACAGCTAGTAAGTGCCTAAGTCTAGATTTGAACTCCGGTCTTACTGATTCCAGACCTGGCTCTCTGTCCACTGAGCCACCTAGCTTCCCCTGTGCAATTATTAAGAAAAATATTTTTTTTACATTAAAACTAAATTGACTCCTCTAGAAGTAGCTTCTATCTATTCCATCTAACTCTGCCTCCTAGGGCCAAGACTTCTTCTACATAATAGCCCGTCAAATACTATCATGACATTATGCCGCCCCCCCCCCACATACACGTCTTTTCTTTCACAGGTTATACTTCCGCAGTTCCTTTTGTTGAGCTTCATATGACCTCAACACCTTGCTCTCATATAGATAATCTCTGGTTGACCAATTCTCCTCCTAAGATATGGTGCTCAGAATTAAACAAAACCCTGACTGGAGCACAATGGGAATATTATATACTTACTCTTGGGCACTAATCCTTTTTTAATGAATGCTAAGGTCACATTAATTTCCTTAACTTGTCTGTGTCTTTTCTAAACTTTGTATCTCCTCTAGCAGGTAGCATAGCATTCTGTACACAATAGGTGCTAATAAATGTTTGATGAATTTCCTCAATATGAGGACAATTTAATTGTTTGTATCTTTTTAAAGCCCTGAATCTAGTTCTTTCTGTAGTTGGGGAGATCCTGGCTGCTGATTAGTAAAAAGGTTAGGTTTTAGGTTTTCCATATGGGTATGTATATACATATATAAATATGCAATTGGATCTTTATATATATACATATATACACACATACACAATATATATGTATATATATACACACACATACACTATATACACACATGCACATACATACACATATACGTATACATATATATTATTAATATATATATATATATATATATATATATATATATACATATCCATGCAATTTGGCAGTACCATGGATAGAGTACTGGACCTGGAAGTGCTCAGGAAGAGAGCTGAGTTCAAATGTGGCCTCATACATTTGCTAGCTCTGTGACCTTGGGTGAGTCACTTAACCTCTGTTTGTTTCAGTTTACTCATTTGTAAAATGAGAATAATAATAATAGCACCTACATTCCAGGTCTGTTGTAAAGATCAAATGAGATAATAATTTTAAAGCACTTAGCACAATGCCTGGCAAATAGTAAACATTGTATAAATGTTGCTGTTTTTGCTGTTACATGCAGTCCATATATTAAAACTCAAACAGTCTACCACAGGTTTCTTCAGAGTAGCGTAAGACTAACCATTACCAGTGACCCATAGTTTGAAGTCTATACAAATCTTACTCATCTTTTAATGCCCACCTCTATTCTCACCATAGTCTAGCTCACACAGAACTTTCCCTTCTCTGAATTGCATTTCTTATCAGTGCTACAACAATGTTCTATAATCACATGTGTATTTATGCCTTATATCCTTAGTTAGCCTGTAAGCTCTTTGAGGACAGAAACTACTGATTCACATGTTCTATCTCCCCCAGTACCCAACACAATGCTTGATTTGGGGTGGAGTGGAGGTGGCGGTGGGGGAATAGGCTAGGTCCAAATCTATGATTTTAGTAACGTATAGAATTTCTAGTTCATTTTTCTCCAACAATGCTGATAAACAACTCATCTATAATACATAGTCTTAGAATGTTGCCCATTACACAGACAGGCTAAATGACTTGTCCCTGGTCACATTGCTTGTATATGAACTCAGGACTTCAAGATTTTAAGAAAGACCTTCTATTGACTAGGCTCTGTTGCCTGGATTAATTAATTGTATATAAATATGGCCTTTGGCCAGAAATACCTTTTCCTCGCTCTCTCCCTCCCCTTCCATTTACTACTCAGTAGTTTAGGGGCTTATGCACAAAGTGTGTAGAGTGA